AACAGATGGACTGGATTCATTAGAATTATTTTTTGATAGGGAAAATAGTTGGGAGGACTCTGTTTAAGCTCTCCCTCGATAATGCAATTCACATGGTACTTTATTCTCTGTTTTGAGATCGCACGCCAAGGATGTGGTTCAATTTGGTCTGGTCATAGCTGGTAGACTAGGAAGTTGATTACAGATTTCTATCTTGAAACGCTTCGGTTTTTTTCTGAATGTAGGGACGAAGAATATATGACATGATGAATAGGGACATTAATGGTGAAGGGAGAAAATTGAATAGAGGTGAAGAAGAAGAGGAGGAAGATGAAGATGAGGAAAGTGGGAGGGGCCGTGATGCGTGGGAGAGGGCTTATGCAGATGAGAGGTCATGGGAGTCTCTACAAGAGGATGAATCTGGCCTTCTTAGGCCTATAGACAACAAAGCTCTCCACCATGCTCAATATCGCAGACGCCTTCGGACTGCAACTACTGCTGGAATTCAGAAGGGCCTTATTCGCTATCTCTACATTGTCATCGATCTTTCCCGAGTAAGGCTATAATCATTTTGTACTTACATGTGTTGGACCTGTGCTTCTTAATGAAATCTTTAATTGTGCCATGAATTTGAAAGAGGTGTAATATTCACATTTTACTGGTTACCTCCTTTTACAGTTCTCAAAGATAACATTGACGAAAGCTTTTACTAGCATATTTATAACATTGACGAAAGCTTTTAGTAGTATATTTATTAGTTAAAGATGCGAAACAGAAATAGTGAAAGAATTGTACACAGTTAACATGTTAAAGGCAGCATCACAAATCCATTAATTTTGGGATCAAATAATTCCTTTAATGAATGACCTTCAGTGACAATATCCAAATGATCTCAGAAAGTTAATTATCCTAGATAAGATTGTAGTAATTAAGAAGGCTTTATAAACACCTGTTTACCTGGTAGTCCAAACAACTGGAAAGTTAAGAGCTCATTCATTGGTCTTGTGTCGGTTGATGACTGACTTTCACTGATTAATGAACAGTTTAAATTCTCTTATCTAGGCAGCTGGAGAGATGGATTATAAACCAAGCCGGATGGTTGTGGTGGCACGACAAGTGGAGGCTTTCATTAGGGAGTTCTTTGATCAGAATCCTTTGAGCCAAATTGGCTTGGTAACATTAAAAGATGGGGTGGCACAATGCTTGACTGATCTTGGTGGCAGTCCTGAGTCTCATATCAAAGCTTTGATGGGTAAGTTGGAGTGCTCGGGTGACTCTTCTCTCCAGAATGGGCTTGATCTTGTGCATGACCTTCTAAACCAAATCCCATCATATGGTCATCGCGAAGTTCTTATTTTGTATTCGGCTCTCAGTACTTGTGATCCAGGGGATATTATGGAAACCATCCAGAAATGCAAAGGTGCCAAGATAAGGTGCTCAATCGTTGGTCTATCAGCTGAACTGTATATATGCAAATACCTATGTCAAGAAACTGGTGGATTGTACTCAGTTGCATTGGATGAGGTGAGTAATTATTTTGAAAAATCTGCCATTACATATTGAAGTACATCACCATAATTGTTAAAACCTGCTGTCAGTGCAAATGATAAATTTGAAGCATAGAATGGAACAGGGAATAAAGCTCAAAACTTTATTTCTAATTCCTCTAATTGTACTGATAGTCAAGGAAACTCATAGTTAAATCTGCTGAATGAGGAGCATGTCAAGTATGAAACTAGTCAATTATCTCCAAGACCTGGTTTAGCTGGCAGGGACATTAGCCGGGAGACAGTGAGACCCCTGGTTCAACTCTCATGCCCTCCGCTTTTCCCCTTTCCCCTTTGTAAGGGTTGGAGCCTTTTCTTGAACGAAAAACTAGTCATTGTCTAATACATAAATTCCTTTCTGTGCCAGCCACACTTGAAAGAGTTAGTATTGGAACATGCACCACCACCTCCGGCAATAGCTGAATTTGCAATTGCCAATCTAATCAAGATGGGTTTTCCCCAGAGGGCTGCAGAAGGTGTCATCTCAATCTGTTCATGTCATAAAGAGGCAAAGTTTGGTGGAGGCTACACTTGTCCAAGATGCAAAGCCCGTGTATGTGAGCTGCCTACTGAGTGTCGTATATGTGGGCTGACTCTTGTTTCATCTCCACATTTGGCAAGGTCATACCATCACTTATTTCCTATAACACCTTTTGATGATGTGTCGCCATCAATTACAAACATTCCACAAAAGCTGCCAAAGAGTTGTTTTGGTTGCCAGCAAAGTCTACTAAATCCTGGTAAGAACTGAAACTTTGTTGATGCATTCTGTGAATGCACTACTGTTTTTCTTTCATGAGTTTTCCAGGTTGTCATGATGGCTTTTGTTGATATGAACTGTTTGAGCTTCACGTGATCTTCTAAACTGACTGTTTATGTACTTTAATTCCAGTTGGAAGATTAGAAGCCTGTATAGAACTAGTATTTATAACTACTCTCAAATTCCACTCATTTCCACACCAAAGCAAGAAGAAGTTAAGGAAAATATTGTATTGAACAACTTTGGGAACTTTGACAACTTAAGTCGCATTATATGAAAGGAAGAATTTCGAACATTTTACTGTTGATTGATAGAAGTTAAGGAAAATACTGTATTGAACAACTTTGGGAACTTTGACAACTTAAGTCGCATTATATGAAAGGAAGAATTTCGAACATTTTACTGTTGATTGATAGACATAACAACTCCCACTTGGCTTTTCAACTTTAAACTAGGATTGAAGGTGTTGTAAAAACACTGAGAAGAGAATATTGATCATGTGTTGTTCCATGTTTTTGGGAGCCTGGTCATTATGATTCTATTCTTGGTGTCTGATGGATGGACATGGACTATGCCCAAGAATTGTAAGCTGAAGTTAGTGACCACTGACCTTAAGACTGTAATGGTTGTGAATTGGCTAAGCAGTCAGTAAGGCATGGGTTAGCATGGTCCATGCCCATGCCTTTTTATTTTTTTTTTTGACTTATTTTTTATGGCTTGTGCTGCACTTGAGATAAACTCACAGCCACTGGTACTGCTTTACAATTTGCAAGCTTCTTTATGAGTTGTGAAGGTCATATCAATTGAAAGATCCTTTTTTGGCACTCTCTTTAGCCCTATGTCTCTTATCCCTAGGAGGCCTTCCAGACAGAAGAAGATTATGTAAACACTTACTCAAAATCTCACTTATCAGATTCCATTGAAACTTAAGCATTTGTTTGCCGTGCAGGTAATCTGCCAGGGCCTTGTGTTGCTTGTCCCAAATGCAAACAACACTTCTGCCTTGATTGCGATATCTACATTCATGAGAGCTTGCAAAATTGTCCTGGTTGTGAGAGCTTCAAGCAGTCTAATTCAGTCACCAACATGGAAGAATGATATTTGTTGATGTTGACCCTCTCCATTTTTCCTTCCTTTACTTATTGATGCACATCATTTAGTCACAGAAGTAGGAAAGTTTTGGCTCCATTGACATATAACATCTTGGCACACAACATAGTTTACAGTGTAACAGTGTGTTATTTTGAAAGTAGTGTTAACGCACAGACAGGTGGTTTAAAACCTTTTTTTTTTTTTTGGAATTTTGATACTAACAAAAGGTTGAATAATACTAGTTCGAGTTCAACCTTTAAAAATTTGACCAATTCCTACACACTGTTACGAACCCTTTTGCATTTATGCAGCCTCAACCAAGCATGTAACGTTCCAAGAAGTTTGAGCATGAAGAGAAAAAAAAAATAACAAAATGACAATCTCTTAGTAGTATCAGTAATTGGTCGTGCAGGTGTAGAATAGTTGCCTCGAACTAAAATTCAGAATAATTACGGGAAAAGGTCATCAAACACTTTTTTTTTTTTTTTTTGGCTTTCTCCATCTCAACTAGCTCGGTGAGTGGATGCAAGTGAGCAACCTTGAAATTGAGATCATCATCATGAAACATTCAATGATCCGTTTGCAATGCCTGTCTTATGGAAATTGGAAGGCTTTGTTCACCATGCAGGTGGCTAAAAGCCCAGTCCTTCTCCAACCAATAAAGGTTCTCTAATTATGAAAGATAAATAAAGATATTGGGACAATATTTACAAAAAAAAAAAAAAAAAAAAAAAGAAGGTTATGGAGACAAGAAGTTCAATTCAAGTGATGATGGCCATCTTGCTTTTAGTTCTTTTGCAAAGGAACGTTATAAACATGTTACAACATGCACACAACGATGTTTAATAAGTGACTATGAGTCTTATGTTACACACTAGTATGTAACACCTATAATAGACATCATGTCCTTCTCAAAAGTTCAACTTAATTAAAATTATAAAGATGACAGATATCGACATATTAGAGACTATGAGTCTTGTGTTACACACTAATATGTAACACTTATAATAGACATCATGTCCTTCTCAAAAGTTCAACTTAATTAAAATTCTAAAGATGACAGATATCGACATATTAGAGTGTGTAACATAGATATTATACCCCGTTGTGTAATAGAAAGATTGGTTGCTCTAACAAAAGATGAAAAGATCAAACGTTCTAACACAAATAACAGCTCTGGATCAGCGGGTGATTGTAAGCCGGTAATCATACCGTTTGGACCAGGCCAATGTATAGAATTAGAAACGGCATTATATTGCTTCTTGAGAGCGTCCGTTGAGAAATGGTAGCTTTAAAGTTGCCACTTCAAATGGTCATGTAGAAATTGCTTCTTAATTGACACGGTAATTTTAAAGTCCTTATAACTGCGAGCAACTTTTTTATTAAAAAATTCACTAAACTTATTTTTCTTCATGTCATTTTAAAAAAAAATTTCTAATAGCGGAGGAAGTAGGTGATTAAAACTTTAAAAACTCTATTTTTGAACTCTCATCTTTCTTCATGTTATATTCCATTGTTATGTTGGATTTTCTTCTATCATTTTTTACTTATATGCTTCCTTGAGGGACAGCATAAAGTTACTATAGATGCTCCGAAAATTACATCTTTGGACATCGTCGGTCATGTACTTGAAGTAAACATCATTCAAGACCTGATGTCTCTAGATACTGCAGGAGTGCAATCTGATTTTCTTTATTATATAACAACTGAAAGCGACTTATTTTTACGTGGTTGGCATGCTTTTAAGTTCATGAGTGGGTTGCAAAATTTGAAATCACTTAGTTTGTCAGAGAAGATTCTCAAGGTATGTCCTCTGTCTTCTTTTTCTTAAATTTGGCTTCATTTCAGGGCTTTCCCATCGAATCTTTATAGAAAAATTTTTCTTACTCAGTTCTTCTCCTTATATGCATGAAGGCTCTCTATTTTTCTCAACGGAGATTGCCAACTTTCAGAAACTTGATTAAGTTGGAGCTTATACCTTTTTATTGCCATGACTGTCCTCGCATGTGTATCTGGAAAGTGTTATCAAGCTTATTTGAAAGTTCCCCTAACCTTGAAGTGCTTATCTTCCAGGAAGTAAGTTATGGTGGACATTAATACTGTAAGAGTTAATTGCATTAAATTTTGCAGTCACTTATTTACTTCATATGCACAGGTCTTTAAGAACTACTTTAGTGAAGACGAGGAACTTGATTCTGTTTTCCCAGTGGCTCTTCCACTGACTTTCATTGAACATCTTAAGGAAATAGAATTCAAAAATTTTGAAGGGGAGGAACATGAATTCAAGCTGGTAGAGTATTTTCTGAAGAACGCTAAAACTTTAAAGAAGATGACTATAGCTAAAGAGCCTTGGAACTCTGTACCAGAATGTCGCGATAGGATATTGTCATTCAAGAAGTGCTCAGAGGATTGCCAGATTGTGTTCAAAAAGAAAATGGATTGGATAAAGTGCCCACAATTACGAAAGGCGCTGAATCTCTCTGTGTAGCCGTATTTTCTTGGATATAATCTTCTTCTTTCCTCACTATATGACTACCTATCTCTTGTGCTTGAACTTGTTTATTATGATATTAAATCTGATGCTATTCTTGATGCTGTTATGATGCACTGATAAGCACATCATTTAGTTGCAGGGAAGTTCTGGCTTAATGTATATAAAATCGTGCAGCAATATGTAGTGTAACTGGATTGTGATTTCAAAGTTAGTATTAATGCACCGGAGAAAAGAATAACAGCTGGGGAGATCTATGGTCTCAATTAGAATTTTCAAGTTGGGGAGTTTTGTTAAATCAGTCTATTACTCTTGTTTCACGATTTTTTATGATCCCTGGCTATGAAAATGTTAGCAAGCTTACTAGAAAATGCCCCTAATCTTGAATTGCTAATCTTTCTTTCATCAAGTAAGTTACAACGAGTTTTTAACATCATAGAGTTGATTCCAGATTCTGCCGTCCCTAAACTCTAATCTAAAGACGGTTGAACTCGTGCTTAGCATCATATCTGAATGCAATTGCTGGTGTTTTTTTGTTGAACTGAGTAGTAGATCAGTTAATCATAAGTAGAAGTTTTGGTTCTGGGATATGATAGTTAGGAGCAAACATTAATATGGTTTTGTGGTCAAAGATAGCACTAAAGCACCAGGCAAAAGAATCACGGCTAAGCCGTGAACGATCATTTTGCCTGCACTTTGAGATGTTTTACTGTCTGCAAATATGTATTTCGCCCTCTCACTCTGCCGTCCTCAATTTGAAGCTTGTTCTTTCAATTATTGGGTTAATGAACTTTATGATTATAAGCATTGAGTTGTCTTAGATCTTCTTCTCATCTGTCTGAAGGCAATTTATGAAAGATATTCCCAAGCTCACTTCATGCTACTTCTAATCTTGAAGTGCTTATCTTTCATTTGGTGAGTATGATTATCTGTTTTGGTGTAGAATCAATTTTAGTACGTTTTCCAGTGCCCAAGGCAATTAGGAGCAGCTGCAAGAGGGACCTGGGAGTTTTTGAGTTTATTCTGCCAATGGTTATATCAACAGAGCTTCAGTAAACTTCATAGGGAGATGGAAATGACCAAATCTAGAGAAGGGAACACGAACTTATTATGCTAGTAAAGCCTTTTAAATCTCCATAAGCATGTGGTATTACCATTCAAGAAAAGCCCTAAGGATCACCAATAGTGTTCAATAGGAAGAAAAAATAGGATTCAACCAGCATTTGTTTCTTATTCTGTTGCAACTGGTCTGACTTGTATGGTGGAATGGCTTGACAACATTCTTAAGAGGTTTATATTGTTTGACCACTTATGTTGAATTTTCTTGGTGAAGATGGGATTGAATAAAGTGCAAATTCAGCACACCTGACATGTTGGGATGGCCAAAATCAGAATTTGATGTAATATTGCTAGTTATGGAAAACAAAACAGACAAAGGATGACCAAATATACCATAGCTTTCCAAAATAAGGGTCATTCATGGAAATAATCCTATTTGTATCAGAACCCAATTAAGAACTCAAGATTTTAAAGTACACAAGAACTCAATTTGTGCCGAAGTCTATCGGCTAAAAACACTATGCAGAGTTGAAATTTTCAAAAAGTAAGCCAAAACTTGTAGCAGAATCGCCTTATAGTTCAAATCAAAGCCAAATCTCAGGGGAACAAAGAATGAAACGACACACTTTGCAGAATGAGTGAGAGATCAATAGTCGTAGAACACTACTAATGAAACGTAGACATACACCTGCAGAATAGGATGATATAGATAGAGTGGCTTCACACTTTGCAGGCCGTCAACAAAAGCATGAAAAATCATTCAAAAAAAAGCATTTTAACTTTGATTTTGATCTTGGCTTCGACAAGAGACTTCAAGTTCTGTAAAAAAAAATTGTACTGTCATGACCATCGTTAATAAAATACTTCAGATTTGGGGCGTTTAGGCTTAACTGTTGCCTATCCAGGCAGGCACACGAACAAAAGAACACACAGTCCACAGGTTCTTGAGTACTATCAGTAGTGTTTTCAGTGAAGGACTAGATAAATCCAGACTACTCTACCTGTTGAGCCGAATCAAAAGACTGAAAAGTTAAATTCAGTTCTTGGAGCAAAGGACAAGCCTTGACAAGGCTAAGATAGAAACGGACTGGTCATCCAGTGGTGACCACTCAAGCAAGTGCAGCACCTTAAGATTAGGCAAATAAATTGAATAAACTGAATCTTGATGACCCAAATCCACCTTACCGTTATTGCTTTCAAAGTAACTAACGCGTTGCAAGAGAATATTTTAGCACGAGATAATTTCCAATTTTCATCACTAGCCACCAAAAGATGATGTTCTTGGAGGTTACATGAAAGTGCAGCGAATGTCAACGAGGCAATCGCCAAACACACAGATGGGGTATATTCCCACACATGGAGTTCAAATTTTCTTATCGGAGCCCCGTGTCATAGTGTAATCATATGAAGGGTAAAACACAAAATAGTTACAGCACAACTCGTGGCTCCTAACAGCAGATCCCACCTGTCGTACAGTGTTTAGAGCATTGAAGATGAATTTCAGGAAGCCGAATAAAAAGGTATCTCCACCTGGTGGTGGACAGAACTGAAGTTTTTGCAGCTGTTTGTGTACAGAAAAGTGACAACAGACTGTGAAGAAGAGTGTCATCAGGAAGAGCACTCAACTCAACCTACCAGTACAATAATCTGAAGGATGATGATGATGATCAGTCACTGTCACTGAGTTTGATTACTGCTTCCTAATCCAAGAAAATGGGTTTTTTTTTTTTTTTTTGCCAAATAATTTCAAAATCGTTCAAGAAATTATTAGAATTAGCAAGGGCTGAACTGAGAATCAGTTCTGTTCATAACTATTACAGAACATGAAAGTAACAACTGATGAGGAAAGCCAAAGATAGAGAGAGCAGAAACAAAAGAGAGCCTGCACTGCAGATTTATTCTCTGAGGATCAATGTAGGAAAATTAGAGTAATTTTTTAATATACTGTCAATGTATACACGAGTGAACGATTTTTATTCGGACCTAAGCCATAGGGCCTTTAAATGGTACTCGACCTGGTTCATGTGTAAGGGTATAATAGATTTTTCATCCTTAATAGGGCTAACACCAATGGGTTCCATTTCTATTTGTCTGAAATTGCTGTCTAATATTTTCTAGGTGCTCTATTGCTTATTGTGAATCTTTCCAATTCGAAAATTGTTGGTGATTGTAATGTAATAGCTTGGTGCTATTAACGAATAGATGGTGATGTAATGTAATGGTTTTGCTAGAGATGGCAATTTCTAATATGACGCTGTAACACAACTCAAACACGATTATAATTAAGAAGTATAAATACAATCCAAACTTAAAAGTGATTGTTGAATCAACTTGTTAGCATTAGCGACAAGAATATAAACAAGTGTGATTGGATCAACTTGTAGATTGACATACTAACCCAACAAAATAGCTTTTCTTTATAATAATAATAAAAAACAGCTTTTTTTAATAATATAAACGGATTTGGTTGGATCAATTAAACGAGGGATTGTTGAATTAACCTGCATGATTTTCTGTACTAACAAAGGGAAATAGAATAAACTAACCCACTTTGGTCGAAAAAACTAGGGCATTGAACCAGTTTCGATTGGGTTGGGTAATGGTTTGGCTTGCTCAATTATAAGATTGGGTTGTGATTCACCTTTTTTTTTTTTTAGTTTTGAGCCATAGGTACTCGACCTAGTTCATGAGTAAGGGTATAATAGACTTTTCATCCTGCCATTTCTATTTGGTTGGATCAATTTGCCGATTGACTAACCCACCCGATAAAGTAGCTTTTTTCTTATAGTAGCTAAACATTACAAACCCCATTTTGAGTAATTAACAACAATTAAAAATGATCAAATTTGGCTTGAATATTTCAATTAGAAATTTTAAAGATGTGTAAGTTTCATATCTAATCGTATATGGAATTGTTAGACTGTGTTTCTGTAAAATACATAAGATTTGTAATTTATGTCATGCTTGAAAGGCTTCGTTATGTATTATACTTTCGAAGATTTTGAAAACTCTAAATTTTGTGTTTTACTATGTATTGCACTATTAAACTTTTTTTAACGAAAACTTTTAATTTTTGAATTTTTGGACTTTGTTTTATGATTTGGAGGCTTTGTTCTGTATTTTACAACATCAACATTGAATAGATACATGATTAAATGGCTTAAAATATGCAATTAAGATGTTAGAGTTTTTCTAGCATAGGTAAATAGGGTAATCTTATAAAACATTGAGTCATATTAGAACGATTTTAATCGTGTAAGATGTTTAATTGGTTATGCAGGTTGGATTGGTGAAACTGATAAATTTGCCCCTACATTGTCTACAGAATTGAAGATGAACTTCAGGAAGCCAAATGAAATGGCCTCTCCACCTGGTGAACAGGCTGAAGTTCTTGCAGCATTTTGTGTAGTAACGGAACGACAGAATGTGAAGAAGAGTATCATCATGAAGGGGACTCAACCTATCAGTACAATAATCTGAAGGATCAGTCATTGTTAATCAGTTTGATTGCTGCTTCCTAATCCAAGAAAAAGGGTTTTTGACCAAATAATTTCGAAATCGTTCAAGAGATTAGAATTAGCAAGGCTGAACCAAGAATCAAGAATCGGTTTTTGTTTAGGGCAAAATTACATTTTATCCCCCTATAATTTAGTATTTTTGTACATAACTCCCCTATAATTTCAAAAACTATAAACAACCCCCTCATAGTTTGGATTAAAATGTCAAACTGACGAAAATAATCATTCGTAATGAAATCTTTAAAAATATCAAAATTACCCTTGTTTAAAAATTAAAAAGATTGAAATGACTAAAATATATAAACATAATATACATGACGCACTAACCCTTTATGATTTTATATTTTACCATATAAGCCCCTTATGATTTTTAAAATATACACATAACCCCCGTGTAGTTAATAAATAATTTTCAAATTTACATAGGGATATTTTTGACATTTTAGATAACCTCATTATGGATTGCAAATTTCGTTATTTTGACACTTTAATATAAGCCTTGACGTGATTATGTATAGCTTTTGAAACTATAGGGGGTTATTTACAAAGAAACTAAATTAGAGGGGGTGAAGTGTAATTTTGCCATTTGTTTATAACTATTACAGAACATAAAAGTATAAACAACTGAAGAGGAAGGCCAGAAATAGAGAGAGCAGAAACAGAAGAGAACCTGTGCTGCAGAATCAATCCTGAGTTGCAGCTCTCTGAGGGATCAATGCAGGAAATTAACCTGCTTAAATTAACAAATAAAGCTACAAAAAACGAAATTGGTCGCGAACAAGATAGCAAGCAAGAAAGACAAAATAAACCATGAAGAAAAGAAAAGAAGGAACAGAACTGAGCCATAGGCCCTTTAAATAGACCAAGCAAACTCCTAGTTTCTAGGCGGAATAAAACTACCAAACTGACCAGTCAGAACCATCATGCCTAAATCCTATTGTGGCTTAAGTACCAAAACGCAAAGGGACTCAATGACTAACAATTAAACACAAATGCATTCAGAAAGAAGAGTACACACTTGCAAAGAAATATCTGTAAAAATATAATTGTAAAAAACTAAGTAACTTTTTGAGCTGAGACAATAATCTTACTGAGCTATTCTTTCCCCGGGAGTTTCAATGCCATCTTCCAATATATTATCATTCAAAATATGATCATTCGGACATTTTTCTTCTAATGTCATACCAATGCTAAATCAAAAAGGAAAGAAAAAACGATAGGTGCAAATATCTTTCTCCTGTACACTAGTAAAAAAAATTCAAATTCTGCAATTGAATGATCAACTTCAGAAAGAATCAATTCATCCCAATAGCTTCAACAATGGCGTCAAAACATATGATTAGACATTTAGATGCAAAACTAACAAGAGATGATCACCCTATCATATTGGCAATCGTCAAATCCTGTTTGAATCGAGTTCTTTGAACAAAATTTGGCAATCCTCAGAGCATTTCCAGAATGACAGTATCCTTCTGCGGCATTCTGATGAAGGTTTCACAACTCCGCAAAGAGTCATCTTTGTCAAAGAAATCCCGTTCTTCAAAAAGTACCGTACTAGCTCGAATTCATGTTCCTCGCCGTCGAATTTTTTGATTTCCATCTCCTTAAGATGGTGAACGGAGCATATTGGAATAGCCTCTGGCAGAACACACTCAAATTTCTCAGATGCACTAAAGCTGTTCCTAAACACCTGTGCCAATTCGAAGAAAGTTAGGGACTACAAAATCGAATGTAACTCGTTCAATAAGAGAAAAGCTCGCAAACAACTCACTTGATCAAAGATCAGAACTTCAAGATTAGGGGCGTTTTTCAGTAAGCTAGGTAACACTTTCCATAAACAGGTATGATCATAATTCGTAAGAAACAAATCATTGGAAGGATCAAGAGACAGATCAGTCAAATTTTTGAAAGTCGGCAGCAACTCACGACAAAGGTAGAGAGCCTTCAAGCAAATCAGAAAAAGTAAGTGAATACACATGAAGTTCCATATTGTTACAACTCAAAGGAAAAGCTCCAGAGCGAGAAACCAATAGTAGGATGAGATGTAAACTTACCTGCAGACTAGAATGATATAGATAGAGTGACTTCACACTTTCCAGTCCATTAACAAAAGCATGCAAATCATTCAATGAGAAGCCTCTTTCAGTTGGATAACTGGAGCAGTGAACTCTGATTTTGGCTTCAACAAGAGACTTCAAGTTTTGAATCAAGTTTATACTGTCAAGACTACTGTAGATCAAATACTTAACATTTGGGGCATCTAGACTAATTTGTTGCGTTTGCCGGGCACGATATTCCAAATACTCAAGATTCTTTGACTCAATAACATAAGGACACCCAGCCAAGCGGCCACTGAGTATCAGTTTCTTCAGTGAAGGACTAGATAAATCGACTGCTCTAGTTAAAAGCCTTTTACTCAAATTGTGTGATTCTACACCTAACTCCAGTTCTTCAAGCAAAGGACAGGCGTTGATAAGCCTAGTAATGGACTGAGCATCTACTGGTGCCAATTCAAGCAAGTGCAGTGCCTTAAGATTTGGTAAATAAACTGAATCTGGCAGAACCAAATCCACTTCACCACCGATTACTTTCAAAGTTACTAACGTTTTGCAAGAGAATAATCCAGCACGAGCTAATTTCCAATTTTTATCACTATAAATAAATATATCAACTTCTTGGAGTGTACACGAAAGTGCAGCAAATATCAACGAATCAATTGTCACGCTATTACCTGGGATAACGGACGCCAAACGGAGTTTAAATTTTCTTATAGGAGCCCCTTTTCGTAGCATAATCACTCGATTGGCAAAATTGATAAATTTTATGGACTTACAGAGCAACATGTCACGCTTATTTCTGGCATGACAGCACAATGTAGGACCCTTATCCATGAAATTACACATATATGCTCCAGAGAAAGTAAGATCAACATCAGGAAGCCGAACAAAAAGGTATCTCCACCGGGTGGACAGAACTGAGGTTCTTGCAGCATCTGTAGTACGGGAAAATGACAGAATATAAAGAAGAATGTCATCAGGAAGGGCACTCAATCTGTCATCCGGGGTGGTTTTTCTTCTAAAAGCCCTTTCGGGTTCCGAAGGATGATCATAATCATGATCAGTCATCGTTAATCGACTTGATAACTATTTTCCTAACCCAAGAAGATGGTTAATTTTTTTCACTAATAACTCGGAAAGGGTTCAAGGAATTACAATTAGAGAGCCTGCACAAAACAAAACGACTGAAGGGCAGAAGCATAACAGAACCTGCGTTGCAGGAAACCTTTTCCAAAAACTCACAAAACAAAATCAATGTGTCCGAGAGAATGTTAGGAAATAAAGCCACAGAAGCAAAATGAGCAGGGGAGCAAGATCATAATCTGCAATGGCTCAAATAAAAGAGAAAAAGAAACGAAGGCAGAACGAAAACAAAACACTATCCCAAAACGAAGAAGGGAAAAAAAAAACATTAGAAAACTAACTACAATCAGGGTTTTGCTTATATTTGCCTAGATATTCTGTGATAATCATCAACATTTCTCAAGCTTGCTTCCCTTTCCATACTAGAATGTATTAGGTTTTTCTTCTTTTTATTCTTTTCGTCCCGTTTACTTTGACAGAAGGGCGAGTCTTGGGCCCAAATTTTCTATGTCCAATAAAAGGCCCAAGTCTTGCATTACCTAAGGCACCGTTTGGATTGAGGGAATGGGAGGGAAAGGAAAGGAGAGGAATTGGAGGGATTTAGTTTTTATTGTTTGGATGGACTTTCGAGGATGGAAAGTAAATGGGCGAAAACGGTGGGAAATTAAACTAAATTAATTGAAATAATTTGAATTTTTTTAAAGGGTCATTTTTCTCAATTTTTTATAGTAAATTGACACTTGATCTTTTTTTTTCCTTTCTTTTCCTTCTTCAATCTAAACAAAAATTCAGTATTTCCTTTCTTTTATTTCCATAATCCAAACAAAATGGATGGAAATCACTTTTCGCTACTTTCTTTTTTTTTATTATTGGTATCCTTTCCTTTCCTTACCATTCATTTCCTTCTATCCAAACAATGCCTAAATCTAAATAAGGATTCAGCCCACTACAGAGGATAAAAAAAAAAAAAATGTTGTAGTCTAATCATGTGTATATGGTGTGCATGCAAGTATTGTACTTAAATTAATATTTGATTTTTTAAAAAAAAAATTCTAGTAGGAAAGGATTAGATTTAAGAAATAGGAAGGGATAAGAGGATCTGAACCTTTGTTTTATTAGTTGAACGGAAGTGTTTTTACTACCTAACATCGATTTAGATGTTGCTAGAGGGAAAAGAAAAAGAAAAAACATTTGTTTGGATGATTCCATTTCCCTGAGTTCTTTAATTCTTCAATTTGATTCCTTTAATTGCATTTTAGATGATTTCATTTGCTTTTTCAAAAGGACTTTTTGCTCTTAATTGGTCCATCCAAGCAATAGAAAGAGCCAATATGTATGTGTTTGTGTGTATGAAAGTATGTTAGTGTATGTTTTAGTGTGTTTATATGCGTGAAAATGATGCATTTCTATCCAAGAAACTTAAGAAAGTGAGTATTTATTTGTTTGTAAGAAGTAATTTAGTGTGTCAAAATATATTTAAGTACATGAAAATGTGTTCATATGTGTTAAAAAAAATTTTTGTTTGTGCAAATATGTGTAAAAGAGTGCTATGTATCAAAACGTATAAAATGCCATGTAAAATCATATATAGGTCGTGAATTTGAATTGACCAAATATAACCTAATACAATATCAACTGATATCCTAAGGTTGCTGCCAAACGGTTGAGTTCTAGAAAGAATCATCCATGCGTAGAGCTTGACAATGTGGTATGTTGTAAGATTCTTTAGGAAGCAAAAAGCAAATTTAGCAACCATCGTACAGAAACAGTCGTAAGAGTTTACATAATCGCAACAAGTCAGGAGTACCCTTTTGGTCCTAGTACTAATCACATCCCTATAACTATCTAGCATTTCCAGAGCAAAACACAGAGGACTACAGTAGATAGGACAGCTAGCTGCAAAAGGCCTCATAACAATCCACTGATAAGAGTACAAAATCTGTCGAAATTTCGCTTTCTTGATGGCGAGAACACATCTGAACTTCCTGAAAATACTCCAGCAGTTTCAACAGTCCTGAACTCGTACTTTCTGTGTCCGCAGGTGTTCTGGTTCCAGCATAGATCTTCAACAAGGGTCCATACTAACCAGCAAGATGACTAAATTGTTGAATGGTTTGCACTGGTTCCATCCAACATCTTGTGATTTCCATCTCCGTTCAAGCAGCTTGTAATAGTTCTGCAATCACAGTAAACTTTTTGAATAAAAATGTTCCAATGTTCAGAAAGAAGACTGCAAATTACTTGCAAAGAAACCTTATACAACTAAACCAAATAAACATGTCTAGAGATACAAGATTTAAACATTAAAACTTCCTAATTACCTTTTGAAACTGATAAAATAAGCTTTCCAAGCTAATCTTTCCTATGGAGCTTTGATGCTACCTTTCAATATATGATCATTTCATACCTTTTACTCCTTAATGCTATCTCTCAACATAAGATTATTCAAGTATTATTTTCTAATGTCACACCCGCACTCTTCTTGGAAACACAACATCCTTGAATCTGCTTAGGCCATTAAGCTAGATACCTTCTGGGTAGAAAATTGATATGTAGGATTTTGACCTTGAAACATTGTAGGGGTGCTTTATTAACATTTTTTAACATGTCAATTTACAAATGTAATGTGACCAGAATATTATCATACACATGTGGGTTTTGAAATTTGTCAATATTATCCTAGTTCTGCTATTAATTGTTGTACCAGTTTAACATCCACTTCAAAAGACCAAAGATAGCACCACAAAAGCCAATTTTATTAGAAAAACCGACATAAATGGGTCATCAAGAAGCATATCAAGGATAATACACCTCATATCAATGACATCAAGTGTGCCACTCCGGCATATCATTCAGGCTAAATGCAACAGAACAAGAACCACCCTATCCCCACCAAAATAAATAAATAAATGAAACATAAAAAGAAAAAAAGGACCATCAAGCTCAAATTGGTTTTAGTAATGATTCAATCCAGATGTTTCTTACTATCCAATGCTTTTCAGCAATTCTTAGAGCTTTTCTTTAAGGACAATATCCTGTTGTAACATTTCTCATGAAGACTTGAAAGGCTCTAAACTCCACCAAAAGTTATGTTTTAATAAGAATGTTAATTTTCCAAACATGATCTACCAGCTTGGAATCATAGTTGTCAAAGTTTTTGATTTCCAACTCCATATGATTTTTAGTGAACCCTACTGTAATAGCCTTTGACAAAATATACATAAAACTCCTTGGTACCTCTAAAGTTGTGCAATAGGCTATCATATCCTCAAAACCAAAACTTATAGTTGTGCAATTGAATTATCTATTAATCACTTCTACTGAAAACCACTACCAAATGCATTCAAAGAGGTGCTAATCATGAGTTCAACCCTCTTTAACATCTATTCAAGCTCATAATTACTTGCATAACATAAGATGAACACTTCAAGATTCAGGGCATTTTCTGGCAAGCTTTGCTGCATAATGACTGATTTAGTAGAACTGCCAAAACGAAGGTTCTACTGAAAACTGTAAATCTCCCCAGCTATTCTTATTTCCCTGGGTGCATTTATACCAACTTTTGGCATATGATCCTATTATCCAATATCCTATTTTATGAAGCCAAAACTTCCTATTCTGCAACTAATTGATATGCTTACCAGTCACAATAGAGCATCAACAGTGGCATCAGATATGATTTGCAGTACAAGCACAAGCACCGTCTTTACGTACTCAAGAAACTGTTGAAGATTTAATCAAGTCTTCACCCAAAAAATAAGAAACAGGTGGTCATAAAGCAAAAAATAACTAATTAGACAAAAATAAAACAAGAACAGAAGGAACATCCAAGAAAATACTATTTAAAGGGAGAGTTTCAGCGCCTTCTGTAGGCTTCAGCGAAATAACCAGTTCCATTGCTCTTTTGACACAATCTGGCAATCGTCTGAGCACTTTTTGAATGACAATATCCTGTCTAGACCTTTCGATAAAGACACACCAGCATAACCAAAGAGAGTCATCTTCTTTAAAGATTTCCCACTCTCCAAAAAAAATTCTACCAGCTTCAATTCATGTTCCTCCCCTTTAAAATTTCCGATTTCTATTTCCTTAAGGCATTCAACCAACACTAGTGGAAGAGCCTCATGGAAAACAGAATTAAGTTCTTCATCTTTGCTAAAGTAGTTCTTGGACACCTGTGCATTTGATGTACATAAGGGACTGCATAATACAACTGAAATAAGCGTGCAATACAAGTGTCCATTGTAACTTACTTCACTGAAGATAAGCACTTCAAGGTTCGGAGAACTTTCAAATAAGCTTGATAATATGCTAGACATGCATTCGCGAGGAAAAGCAGGGCAATCAAAAGGATCAAGCTGTAATTTGATCAAGTTTCTGAATGTTGGCAAAACCCTTTGAGAAAAATAGAGAGCCTTCATAGAGAAGAATTTAGTAAGAATAAACGTTCAATTCTGCAACTATAATTTGAAGGATAAGCTCTGAAATGAAGCCAGATGAAGAAGTATGAAAATAAAAAATAAATAAAATAAAACTTACAATAAGGAAGCTCTCTGAGAAAGAAATTGATTTCACATTTTGCAATCCTCTAAAAAACTTAAAAGCACGCTCACTGCATGAAATTATGGCGCTTCTGGTTCTCATATGACACAGAAAATCAATTTCCAGTAATGCATTGTCAAGAGAAATCAAGTTTTGAATGATATCGACTTCAAGTAAATCGCCATGAAGTTTCAAAGACCTGAGATTTGGGGCATCTATAGCAACTTTATGCTGTCCATCAAGTAAGAAACTCAAGTGTTCAAGACTGTTGGACTCAACAACAGTAGTAAACTCGGATTCAACTCCCTGGAAACAGAGGATCACTCTCTTTAACACAGGACTTGAGATTTTAAAAAAATTGACTTCAATATGTTCGTCAGCGTCACGCTCATGGTTGAAAGGTCGCATAGATAACTCCAACTGTTCAAGCAAAGGACAACCCTGAAGAAACTTCCCAATACAAGCTTCATCTACCAATTTGAACATGTCCAAGCCAAGTACCTTGAGATTAGGCAAGCACACCAAATCCGGAACCGTCCAATACACCCCAAGTTTTAGTGATAAAGAAACTAGTGTTTTACAGGTAAAAATTTCAGGCGGAACAGATATTGAAAGTGGCTTAGTTGTTCTATCAATCACGATTAAAATCTCAAGTTCTTGGATAATCGACAAAGAAAATGCAGCAGCAACAGATATCAACAGCCACTCAAAGAGCATCCGGTGCCTTTCCGAAAAATGGCTCAGAACGAGTCGAATTCTTCTAATTGGAGCTTCATTTCGCTGTCGGATCACCCTGTTTGTGAAATTTATAAAATCTGAGTACAGTCTATCACGGTCAGAAACATCCTCGTCCGCAAAGAAATATAGATCAATTTCAGGAAGCAAAACGAAAAGGTTTCTCCATCTTTTGGACAATACTGAGGTGGCTGCAGCACTTTTTGTGCAGAAACAGAAACGTGAGAGGATATAGAGCAGTACACAGTCCGGAAGTGCACTCAACCTATCAACGTTACCATCATCTTCTTGAGTGGCCTTAAGCACCTTCTTGTCTGGAGGATCAGCCATCTGGGCGTTTATCTTTTCTTTTCTTCTTTTTTCTTTTCCCTTTTTCAAGTTTCCCAGAGATTATGAAACTGTGAGGCTTAAAACCAGAAGGGATCTTTTCTTTTATTCAGAGAAGACACGTACCAAAATTATCCAGTCTATAAATGCACAATTTTGCAGAAAGATACCAAAGCAATCCTAAAGAAAATTGACACCAAAAAGATCAAGAAAAACCTGGTTTTCTGCTGGGTTTTCTGGAACACCCTCCTTACAATCTAGCTTCTGTAAGCATCAACTGAGTTGTGATGTTCTTCTCCATGAAGATTAGAAATTTAGAAATGCTGTTGCTTCCAAATACCTGCAGGGCTGAAGCTTTTCCACCCCATTAAAAGGCCTGCACTTGTCCCAAGGTTTCTTGCATTTGCAGTGTTCAAGCCTTAAGGGTTCGTTTGGGAGTTCGGTTTTGGGCAAATCATTCCAAATACCCTTTTATCATTCCCAATATGGGAGAAATTAATTGGAGAAACAGAAAGTAGGAAAATGTCGAAGACAAGCTACAAGGCTAACCCAATACCCAATACCGAATGCCCAAATGGTTACTTTTCTTTAAATTCCCAATTTTTCAAATCTAAAAATGCCTATTCTTACCTTCCTTTCCCGTACCCCATTGCCAAATTTGGAGCGTAGGGAATAATCCTAGTGAGAAAATATTTTGGTCCCGTTGCGGGCAAAACCCCAAAATAGTCCTAAATTATTTATCAGAAGTTGATATAGTTTTTAAATTTTAATTGTGACCAATTTTAAGTCCCTCAATTATATATGTCAAGTCAATGTAGTTTGTTTTTGGATTGAGCCACGGATCTCACAAAAAAATTGTAGGTGGATCGAGGGGTAAAAAAGGAAACCCATATACCAACCCTCATTAAAAATCAATTTGAAAAAATTTTTGGTGGGACAAAATTTTTTTTTTTAAGTTTTGACAAAGTTTGGTCCGTATTACAAGCATTCCAAGATAACAATCCAACACACAATGTCTCTAAATTAAAATATTTAACAACAATTATGAAAAATAATTGCATCAAGCACCAAATTTGGTACATAATTCATTCAACAATAAAATAATTGATAAAACATAAAATCTAGTTACCTAAATACAAATTTATATGCCATCAAAATAAAGTTTACATTCAATTTCAATCAAAAGCCACAAAAAATATGCATAACTATGAGGAGTTATAAGGCCACAAATATATGTCAAAAGTTTACAATTACAATAAGTTTCTTGTCAAAACTAAATGTCCCCATAGGGTCAGTTTGGTACAGTGTAAAAGGTTTTCTTTAGGAAAATCTTTCCTAGGAAAATTATTTGCTCCGATCCTAATTTTCTAGTGTTTGGTAAGCTATGGAAGAAGAATTCTCGACAAGAAAACAAAAACCCATATGGAACCAATATTATAATGATCTAAAACAAAAATATTACAGTGGTTTGGTCAATAAACATGAGATCAAAACGAGATGAAAGGAATTTTGCTGCCTGAAGGCCGACCCTCCTCTGATGCATATTTCAGTTAAATTAGTTAATGCAAAAAAAAAAAACTGACTTCCAACTCGTAACTCTACAATTGAAAGTGAAGATAGCCTAGATATGTATTATCAGAAAAAGATTGTTGGCGATTAGAGAGTTGATAGGCAATCAACAAAATAGTCAGCATCATGTTATAGTGGTTTTTTATATGGTGTTTTCTTAGCCAATGATTAGTGGGTAACTGGTAGGTTAGATTTTCCTCCTTTGCTATGTCAAGAGTGAAGAATTAAGCAGGAAACCATGAAGTTTTGATGCGTGTTAAAAGGAAGAGAGGTAGATGCGTGTTTAGAGGAAATTAACTTCCGTAATTTCTCAAGATAAGTTGTTTTCAGTCCACTACCTTAAAACATTTTTGGTGAGAAAACTTCTTCCTACATCTTAAACGAACCAAATAACTGAAATCAGGGAAAATATTTTCTGGAAAAATATTTTCAGTCGAAACAAACAGACCCTTAAACTTCAACTTTTTAAGCAACATCTGTGGAAGCTGGATTAGAGTCCATTTAATCACTTTCCACAAATCCTCCACATTTTCGGCAACATATTTTTTGTCATTTTCCTCCACAATTACCCCACCATGATAGATTTTGAGTAAAAAAAAAATTTATTGTCCCTTTCACCGACTACAGACATTAGAGATACACTCTAATAGAACCAAGAACCTTTTTGTCTTGAAAAAAGAGGGACATGAAATCAACAAAGCCAAACAAACAATCACATGCCGTGAACCACAAATGGTAATTCATTGATACAAATTCAATTCAACTTTGAGCCACATTAATCAAATCTCACTAATGAATATGCATTAAAACATCATAAAATTGTTTACACCCTGACAAAAAAAGTCATAAACACTGCACAAACCTAACAAATATTCTTTATCAAAATGCTATATCCTTTTGCATATAAGAAGCACTTCCGGGTTCCACTGTTCATGCTAGATTGTGGTGGTGTTGTAGAGAGACAAAACTTACTATTCAAAAGTTCACTAATGCTACCTCCTACGGACTTGGGTAGAAGCAGTTGCTTAGTCAATCGTTGCTGAACAGTGTAATTCTATCTGAATATTTTGTACCTCCTTCTTAACTGCTTGTACAACTTTACAACAAAGGTATGATATTCTAGTACTATTCATGTGATCCTATACATAATAATTATGTATCTATTATGAAGTTGTACAAGTAATTTACATGGAGTAACAAACTGCTCAAAATGAGTTGCATTGTTCAAAAATGGTTGTAATTGTTCTTGCTCCAAATCCACCTCGTACATGCATTCTGTCATTCGATCTCCTCTTCACACCATAGATGAAGTTCTTGATTTAGATTAATTGGTATCTTTTGGATGCATTTTAAGATGAAATTTGTATCCGAAATTTTGGGGCAGGTTCTATAAGGTTATTTTTCCTTCAATCGCAGTTGATACTACTCCAGCTAAAACTCTTTTTTTTTTTTTTCAAAACGATTTTAATGAAAGCTAGAATGTGAGCTTCCTTCCTTCTCCTCTGTCCACTGGCAGTTTTTATGTGACTGGTTGTTCAGTCAAAATGGACTAGTTTGGCTAGGCACTTATAGATGACATTTCACGTACAACCATTAAATTGGATGTTTTTCTTTTAATTTTTAATTTAATCAAAACCACGTGGAGCTGTAATGTATGTTTCCAAACTATAAGGAGTTAAATTGAACATTTGATAAATCACAAGGAATTTTTTTGGTATTTTACCCATTTCCTTATAGGAGCCCTTTTCGTAGCATAATCCCTCGATTGGTGAAATTGGTAAATGTCATGGATTTACAAACTAATATGTCACGCTCATTCTTGGAACGACAGCACAATGAGCAACGCTTATCTGTGAAATTGCACTTACATGGTTATGAGAAAGTAAGATAAACATAAGGGAGCCAAATAAAAAGGTCTCTCCAACTGGTGGACAAAACTGAGGTTCTTCCAGCATCTTTTGTACAGAAGAATGACAGGATATGAAGAAGAATGTCATCGGGAAAGGCACTTAATCCCTCATCTGGCATTTTTCTTTTAAAAGCCCTTTTGGGTTCTGAGGATGATCGTAATGATAATCAGTCATGGTTAACCTAAGAACATAATTTGCATTCCACATGTAGGGATTTCCTGAAGAGATGATCCGTCAGTATAAATCTATTAAAGCACGACTACCACGATTTTGGACAAGACAAAAAAGTACAGTAGATATCAACAAGTCAATTTCCACCAAAATCTTTCATCTGCAGGCACCATATGGATAACACCAATATATCTAACCGTAGCCCAATTTTGTAGCAGAATCGTTTCATACTTCAAGCCCAATGTTCATGAATATAATGTATTCCCAATGTTGAACATGTATCAATGTTTTTTCACCTTACAAGTGAATGTTATTGGGAATCCATAAAAGCCATGGGCGAAAATTCATGTATCAATGTTTGCTCCTGAACACTATGAATTGAAAATTCCAATTCTGCAATTAAAGGATCGGCTGTTCAATCCACCCCAATAGCCTCAACAACGGCATCACATATATGATTAGAATTTTGAACACAAAAATGACAAGAACAAAATATGTTTTCCTGCTTGTATTTTATTAAAAGGAGCTGAAATAAAATAAATTTAGAACTGACAATTAATTTCGTAAAAGCAAGATTAAATGAGTGAAACTTGATATTCTTTTACTGGGAGGTTTTCATTACATCAGATAGGCATTTATTAAAATGTATTCGAATTCAGATCATTTGAATACAATCTAGCAATCTGCAGAGCATTTACTAAATGACAATATTCTTTTGCAACCTTTTGATGAAAACTTAAAAGGATTCTTAACTCTGCAAAGAGTCATCTTCTTCAAAGAAATCCCATTCTCCAAGAAATACTCTACTACCTTCATGCTCCATCCCATTGAAGTTTCTGATTTCAATCTCCCTCAGATGTTGAATGAAGCATGTTGGAATTGTTGAAATTCAAAGCCAACAATTGTTGACTTTGAATTTTTGGCATAATTTCCAAATCCCACGTCGGTGGGATTAGTTGTAGGTGCAAAGTCTCAAGCCTTCCCAATAGGTACACCAACAAAGAATTTAAAAAAGAATTATTTTGTAATTCTTTTTTCTCCTAAATTATAAAAGCGCTGCTTAGGCAGTGCTCGAAAATTAGGCAAAATTGGTCGAACTCCGTTATCAATTTTTCAGGTGCATTCTTTCCTTATCTCTTTTATTTATTTCGCATTTATTTGGCAGTTTCTTTTCAATTATAGTACAGTATTCAATATATTTGTCGGGTTTATTTGTAGTGTTTTATATGATTCATTTGGGTGTATTTTTATTCATATATACGTATTATTTATGTATACACGGGTTCAATTGTGATAATACGCCGTGCACGAAAATTCTGTTATAGGAGACTGGGTTTTAAGTGGGATCGCTTGTGACCCTCTAGCCTTTCCTGAAAATTTATTTGAAATGGTAATTCTGTCTAAGGAGATTGTTTTAACGATCTTTTTTAGAGATTATTGAATCGATTTAAATCACTAGTTGAATTTTTTGAGTGAGAAATTACCTGATTTTCCTAACAAGTGGTATCAGAGCAGAAGGTTCATCCTTTGGCCTGTTTGTAATTTTTTTATATTGAATATTATTATTTGAGTCTATAATGGCATCAGATGATTTCACGTGAAGAATTATATCTGAGTCATCGGCTTCCTCGTCTACATGGTCTAGAACTCGAATATCAAGTTCGAAACTGGCGGTGGAGATATTTGACAGTACTGGCCATTTCGGCATGTGGTAAGGCGAAATCATAGACTCTCTTTTCCAACAAGGTCTTGATATTGCCATTGAAGAAAAAAAATCAGATGACATAGAAAAGGAGTGGAGTACCATAAATCGGTTGGCATACGGAATAATTCGATCGTATTTGTCCAGAGGGCAAAAGTATGCTT